ATTTTATTATCTTTGCGCTATCCTTGACTTTAAGACCTTGTACTTTTTTCTAAATTCCCTGTAACTTTTCCTTCTTGTCTATGAACTTTCTGGTTTTAGACTTGCACGCTGCTTTTCTATTAGTTGTCACGTGGCACATCCTGTTAGTATTTGTTGACACGTTTGTTTGTTTGTTTTTCTGTTTTTCATGTATTTGTGTTATGTGAATGGATCTGCGTTTCAGAGTAAGACCAAAACTCCCAGTTTTTTGAAAAAAAAGTTTTCATAGTAGTTTTTGACAGTAACACCTTCTAAGGTTCCTTTGGCTTCTAATATTTTTCTTGTTCTTTCTAATAAAATATCTGTATTTTGAGGCTTTCTTTCTCTTTCCTTAATGACTATTAAACTGTTTCCTATTGATATTCTTAAGCAAATCTGAGTTTTTCTTTAGCTCCAGAAATAGTCAAAATGATCTATAGGAAGAGTGTGAATTGTAATTATTCATTATGTAATTTATTCAATAATTAATAATAAATAAAAGAAAATATTTGTTTTAATTTTAATTAACCTTAATTATGTAGTTTAAATTATAAAAGACTTAAATAATTCACATATAATTGTAATCTATCAAAAAAAAGAAATAAATAAATTGATTTAAGTAATAAAATCTTTAATAATTAATTCAAGTAATAAAATCTTTAATAATTGATTCAAGTAATAAAATCTTTAATAATTGATTCAAGTAATAAAATCTTTAACAATAACAATTTTTATTAGAAAATTTCATTTACTACATCTTATTTAATATAATAGAATCTTCTAATACTATCGTTCAAAATATAGAACACTTTTTTGATACTCTTAATTTTGCTATCTTAGAGTCAGACTATAGTGACATAGATAGAAGCATATACAAAGATTTTTTACTAGAAGAATTAGATTTAGAATTAAGTAAAATAGATATGACAAAACAAGAATTTGAAGAAATTAATTAAGTTAATGATAATGATTAAATAGTAGTAAATAACTTAATAAATAAACTTAATAACTGCTATTTGTGTAAAAAAAATTGTAATAAAAAAGTCTCATCATGCCTGTTGTAGTCTTTGGTATTAGAAAGTTATTAAATAAACAAAAATTAGTAATATTATTTAATAATAATTCTTATAGCTTCTGTTTGTTATGAATTACATGAAAAATAGATATATATTAAATTTCATCTTCCATATTTTGGTAAAGTTTGCTATCCTTTTTTTTATACATTTTGGATATATAGTAAAAATGCACTAAATTGGTTTTATAAATAGCTTAATGAATGTAAATTAATATTGCCTCTGCCTTATGGTAATACTAGTTGTTCACCTAAAATCAAATTATCTTTAGAAAAAGTTAATAAAACAAAGTCTTTTATTAAATAGATGAGTGAACAACATGATAAGATAGTTGCTATTTGAAAATTTACATAAAAAAAGACAAATAGACAAGTAACTAGTATTACAAATCAAAAGTCAAAAAAATTTATTAGTTATCTATTATTAACTAAAAAAATAAACTAACAAATTAACTAAAATTTTTAATAATTTGTAATACTACAGTTAATAGTAAGCTATGAAAAGCATGATATTGTTCTTCTTCCTTCTCATTACTCTTATCAATATCTTCTTGATACCTATAATTTAATGAATTCTAAAAAGATTATTAAGAATTACTAGACTTTTCGACAACTATAGAGATCTGATCTTAAACTTGATAAAATTATAATTAAAAAACTATCTAAAGACAAGTATGATGAATACACTATATTCAAATAAGTATTAAAAGAAAATATTGATAAAGTAAATAAAGATCTTGATATATAATTAATAATACATATAACTAATTATTGAGAAATAAGAGATATTTATGAAAATGATATACAAATAGCAAAGTCATAAGATTGATCTTTATTCTGTATAGGTCTGGCAATCTTAGTGTAGTGATTAGATTACCAGACTGCTATACAAGAGGTCTGAGGTTTAAATTCTACTGTCGACGAATTTAAATAATTACCTAGATCTTTATACCCAACTTACAGTAAACTCTGTTTATTTCTGGGGTTGTAACCCTGTAAATTATGTTGCATCAATATCATTCAGATATTGGAAGTGTGACAAAGTACATAATGTTATACAAATAAATCTTGATAGGATCTACAAGCAGGGGACCTGCATGGTAGAAATCTCAAGTTGGTGAAATAGTACAGCTTTCAATAGTCATATCAGCTAACACTTAATCTAAAAAAAAAACTATCATCAAAAGATGCAGATCGAGTCAGGTATGCATAAATCTGTTTTACAGGGAGGATCAGTAACACCAACTTGGCTTAGTGGCTAACTAGATTAGAAGGATCTGCCTTGTAAAACATCTGAAAAGATAGATACAGAAAACTGGTGAAGAGCCACGGTAGGAACTAGGGTTATATGAATATCTACAAGGGTCTAAGCTAGATGAATTCATGAAATAGACATAGATTGCTCTAGTAAGTTTGCTTCAAAGTTAACTGGAGCTCTGCGAGCTTATAATATGTTAAGCAATAAGCATCCTAAGAGAACCTAAGCTAGAGTCGAAAAATAAATTTGTAATGAGCTAGCTAGCTTAAGTAATTAGATATTATAGTGACGTTAGTTTGTAATGGTATGGATTAGTTGAACAGAGTGTTTAAATAGGTAACTCACAGGTGGGTTACAGGTATGACAGCATAGTGTAGAACTAATCAGGTAGTCTATCGCCTGTGCAGTGGACTACTTAAATTAGACAATAACTAAAGTTGTACGAGTAGCTTGTTGTATACTCTTCATGTAATTACAAACTATAGAGATTACCCTTGTGTAATCTTGTATATCAAACTAATAAAAATCACTCAGCAATATAAGCTACCTTAAAAATAAAAAAAATAAAAAAAATCTTTATTCTGTATATTTTCTTTTAATTTTGCTTAAAATTTAGAATTATTTTATGATCTTTAACAATCTGGACAATAGTATTATTTATTAGTATTAAAAGTATATCAATTTGGATTAATAAATAAACATATTAACAATCATTAGTATGTAATTTATACTGAAGGCAAAGTATTAAAAGGAGCAAATAGAGGTCTGGTGATCTAGTTTAGTAAATAGGTTGTCAGACCACCATGTAAGAGATCTAGAGTTCAAATCCCACTGTCAACAGAATTGAATAATTATCTAGATATCTGTATCTAACTTATGGTAAACTCTGTCTGTTTCTAAGGTTATAACCCTGTAAATCATGTTGTATCAATATTGTTCAAACCTTAAAAGTGTAACAGAATATTGGAGTTGTATTATATGAATAAATCAAAATAGAATCTATGAGCAGAGGACCTGTATGATAGAAATCTCGAGTTAGGCGAAGTAGTACAGATTTTAATAGTCATGCTAGTTAACATTTAATCTGACAAAAGATTTCTGAGTATGAATCGAATAGGTACAAGTAAGTCTGTAGTGTAATGCAGTCTAGTGCTTTGCATTTAGTAATTACATCAACTTGAATTAGTAGCTAACTAGATTGAGAGGATCTACCTCATGAAACATTTAAAAATCTAAACTAGTGGAGTGCTACAGCTAGAACTGAGTATATATGAATATCGAATAAAGGTATATACAAGCTAGATTAGGATATAGCATAATATAATTGAGTTCGTGACATCTATTTGTTAGGGAGCACTGAAGTGGGACTTATTCAAATAAGACCTAGGCCCATAATAATAAAGTTTGTAACTAATGTCAGCTTGGGTGCCTCCCAAAATAAAGTAGCACAAAGTTATAGTTAACTATAAAAAGTAATATTTGTGATAAGTGAGATAGAACTAGAGAGTTTAAATAGGAAATTTTCTAAGAGATTTCAGGTATAGTAGCTAGTGTAGAACCTTCGAGCGGACTACTTAAAATAGATAATCTAAAATTGTACGTGTGGCTAGTTGTACTCTCACAATATGTATCACTTCCAAAATTTATGAAATTAATAAAGTTAGCCGATGGCATTTGTATAAAGTAAAAAAAAAAAAAAAAAAAAAAAAAAAATAGAAATTAAGCAAAAAATAAGAAAAAAAAATGAAAAAACAAAGTTAAGTATAGTAATACTAGAAACTCTATGAAGTAAGTAGCTACAAAAAAAGCTTACTAGATCATATAGACTACAGATATGAAATAATAAGAGATAATTTAAGAAGAATGATCAATAGTCTGCTAAAAAAACTTTTTAAAAAAGTAGTAATTAATAGATTACTCTTAGATGAGAAAAAAGTAAAAGAGCTTTATAATAAACCAAAAAAAGTTCTTAAAAGAATAGCTGAGTATTTTAAAAAGTAGTTCAAAAAAAGAAACTTCTAACAAAAAGATTTTTTATATAACTAGAAAGAAGTATATAAACTAATAATGAGAATTAATAAAAGCTATTACAAAGATTTAAGCAATAGAATAATAGAAGAAAAATAAAACTTAATATTATAAAAGCTTAAAACAAGCATAGTATTAGGTTTATTAGGAATTAGATATATCTTAATTAAATAAGCAAATACAAAAACACAAGTAGCTTTTAGAAATTTTACTAGTAAATACTTAAAAGTAAGTAGAATTCTACTTAAGTAAAAAATTAATAGACTTATCTAATATCTAAAGGTATAGATTAGCAATATAACCTAAACAACATAAAGCTAATAGCACTTTTAGAAATATTTAGAAAATATGTAACTAAAGTTTATACAACTAGGTTAGAGAGAATAATAAGAAAGAATAATATATTAGAAGGGTTAAACTTCATAAAGCTAATAGGAAGTTCAACAGAAAGCCTAATAATATCTTAAATATGATAATAGAAGAAGTGAAAGAAAAAAACAAAAAGCTCTGAATTATGCTACAAGATATAAAAAAAGTATTTGACTCTACAAGTCTAAATTCATTAAAACTAGCATTGCAAAGAATAAAAGTATCAGCAATAGAGCAAGATTTTATATTAAATTTGTTTGACAAATAACAAACTAGAATAATTACTACACTAAATCTTACAGAATTAATAATAGCAGGAGATAGAATAGAGCAGAAAGAAGTAATTTTACCCTTAATCTAGAGAATATTTTATGATTTTTTGCTAACAAAAATCAAAAAAAAATACTTAGCTTAGATATTAAATAGAAGTTAGCTGAAGAGATAATTTTAAAAGAAATAAGAGAAAAACTAAAAGAATAAGACAAGCTATAGTTGCCTTTACAGATAATACTACATAAATAACAAGCTCTAAAGAGCAACTCAAAAAAACTATTCAAATTGCAGAAGAGTTCTTTAATTTTAATGATATTCAAATAAATCTATCTAAATCTAAGCTTATTATAATAAATTCAAAAATATAGAAAGATAAATACAAAAACATAGTAAACAGACAAGAGATTTATATAACTAAGGAAAAAAAAGTAGTTAGATTCTTAAGAATTTGAATTAGACAAAAAGTAAACAAAAAACAAGTCATGACTAAAGCTAAGCAAATTGTAAGACTTTTTGCTAATATGATCAGAAAAAAATAGTCTCAACAAACTAAGTATTATATATAAATAATATATGTCTAATACTGAAACTAGAATATATGCTACAGAATATTTTTTTAAATAAAGATAAATATGAAAAGATTTAGTAATATATATGATAACTGCTAAAAATAAGTTAAGCTTAACAAGAACATTTCTAAACTTTGTAATATCCTATAATGAGATTCTTAATATATGCAATCTATAGAATATACTTAAAACAAAGTAAACACTAAATCTTATAAATAGACTAAATAAAAATTACAAAGTTAAGGATATTACAAAGATAAAAATAAGATAAAGATAGCAAATTACTTGTTATACAAATAGAATCTAGACCGAAAGGCTAGAAAACAATAAGAAGAAACTACTTAAAATAATCTAACAGGTTAAATTATTCAAGATAATTTAAATATA